TTAATAATATTAAAATATATTAATTAAAAAAATTAAATATTTCCAAAAATAATATGCCCGTGTAATTTTTTGTCCACCGTCGGTGGATAGTAGCTAAACTCTTAAATATATATGTTTTTAAACTGTCAACTTGTGATGTTGGAGTATCCTCAAGTAAGTCAAAATGACGAAAAACATATATGAAAATAATGAGTGATTCCATATAATTTTTCTCTATCTAATAGTCATATGGAAAATATCTATTTGCCTAATATACTTTGTGATTTTTATTCATTAAATTAAATTACGTTTCATGATGTCTTATTCAATATTGCAGTTACTCAATTAAATGTATTAGTCATTAAAGCATGTTTAATTTTGAATCGTGTAACTAATTTTCAAAGTTTAAAAAAGGGTAAAACTGTTTCAAATTAGAGATTTTTCAACATTATTTTTCTAAAATGATGAATGAGGGTGAATATAATATGTAAATACCACTGTTTTTGGTTGATGATATTAGTTTATTGTATTTCGTAGTTTAGACTAAAAAGATAGTTCTGTTATGATGACTAAAAAGTAATTTGAGAGCGAAATACATGAATTAAAATATTTTGCAATTAAAATACAGTAATGTAAATGAACAGTTTAATAGAGATAATTTTAATTTGTTTCTCCAATGGAAAATCTGTTGAAATAATTGAAACGTAGTACGTAATATTAGAAAATATATTATTTTTGTCATTTTAAAAGGAAACAAATCTCAAAAAAAGGAAACAAATTAATTTGGTCCAAGATAACTGATTAGTATCTAATTTAAAATTTCATTTGTATTTACAGTTATTTACAATGATACGTGTCTAGAGAAAAAAAGAAGAAGATGCTTAGAGTTTCGAATTATTGATTCTCTGTTTTTTCAAATAAAATAAAATAAAACTTTCTGCCAAAAATCCTCTGTTTTCTCAGAAGAACTCTATACTGAATTAGCAACCAATTTCCTCCAAAGGTAAGTTTTAATACTGCTTCATAATTTATTTGAAGTTGAGTTGTTTTTGTTTTACTTTTTGGACTCAGCTTTTATTCTTTCGAGTCAGGATTTGAACTTTATGTGTTCTGAATACGATTTTTTGTACATGCTTGTCAATATTGACATGGCTATGGCCTATGTGTTTTTGATATTTTTTTTATGGATGAAGTACTTCAACTATTTGTTTGTGTAACCAGTTAACACAGTTTTTGGTGTTTCAGATTCACTTTTGACACTTGGTTAGGTTGATTTCATGTGGTTCTGATGGATTTTTTAAGTATGTTTCGTTGGGAACAAGTGATGTTATTGAATTAGTATGGCTTGTTCTTTTTTGTTTTGTTAAAGAAAAATAGCCAACAAGTGCTACATTGATTTGATTAGAACGTAATTTCTGTGATCGGTAGAGTTCTCTTAAGTGATAACTAATCCGGGACTAATTGAGGTTGAATTTGTCATCAATGATAACCAATATCGGGATAACTTGTTCCCCAACCAAATGAGTCCTAAGATTACTATTTGCGAGGCTAACATTCTTTGTCTTAACAAGATTTATCATTTCTACCTACAGAATGCAATCTGAGTGGATCCATAAATATATATATGCCACTATTTGCAATGAGCACGCGGTAGTCTTTAACAAAACGTGAAAGAATAGTTTAGCAATGTTCTCATTGCGTAACATATTGCATGTTCAGTTTGTTCACTACTCATTTTGTTTCGTGTTTTCTCAACCTTAGTACAGCAAATCCTTTATGAATGTGAATTCGTCCTGTGCAACTAGAGAACTAGTAAGTACTAGCAATTCTTTAGCATTTTGCTCTTTCTTTCCATCGAGAGAATGGGAACTTAGAAATCTTGGAAAATGGATATGCTTTTGTAGAGTATTGAGGAGATATGTCGATAAGAAACTGGCAACTGAATAGTATGTAATAGTAACGGAACTTATCTTGAGTTAAATGGATTTTATGTTTCACTATTATCATATCTTGGTGTTTAGGCTTAATGTGTCGTAATAATTGCATGAATGAACTACCACTGCACAAATTGACACCTCTTATTCCTTTCATGTGTTGTTAAATTTGCATGATTCCCCTACTACTTGTGCCACTCTGTTTGTGATTTCAATATTAGTCTATCTCACCTCGAGTTTGAGTCTATTACACAAAGTAAGAGACTCCTACACAAAAACTTTCACATAATTGACTTTATACTTTGGACATCTTTTACATTGATTAGGTGTTTGTACTAGTGATGTATTACCTCAATTTTACTTATGTATAGCGTTTATAAGATGGCTGATGGAGAAGATATTCAACCACTTGTAGTTGACAATGGAACTGGAATGGTCAAGGTTGGTTAGCAAAAACTGCTTGCGATTCTTGTTACTCTATATATAGCTATGTGACTTTACTGATGTACAACAACTATGTTATTTATTTCTTTAGGCCGGTTTTGCTGGGGATGATGCTCCAAGAGCTGTTTTTCCAAGTATAGTTGGTCGTCCTCGTTACACAGGTGTCATGGTTGGAATGGGACAAAAAGATGCCTATGTTGGTGATGAAGCTCAGTCCAAAAGAGGTATTTTGACTCTGAAGTATCCAATTCGACATGGTATAGTAGACAACTGGGATGATATGGAGAAAATCTGGCATCACAATTTTTACAATGAGCTCCGAGTTGCTCCTGAGGAGCATTCCATTCTTTTGACTGAGGCACCACTTAACCCTAAGGCAAACCGAGAGAAAATGACTCAAATCATGTTTGAGACATTCAATGTGCCAGCCATGTATATTGCAATCCAGGCTGTTCTATCTCTTTATGCTAGTGGTCGTACAACTGGTAAGCAGCAAGTATTGATTAGGAACGCATACTAGTTCTTTTTGGCTTTCTGTCACTAATTTGCTTGCTTTTTTTACCAACAAGGTATTGTGCTTGATTCTGGTGATGGTGTGACCCACACTGTCCCTATCTATGAGGGATATGCACTTCCCCATGCTATCTTGCGGTTAGATCTTGCTGGTCGTGATCTTACAGATTACCTCATGATGATTCTCACAGAGAGAGGTTATTCATTCACCACTGCTGCTGAACGGGAGATTGTTCGTGATGTGAAGGAGAAGCTTGCGTATGTCGCACTGGATTATGAACAGGAGCTTGAGACTACAAAGAACGGTAAGGATGTTGAGAAGAGTTACGAACTTCCAGATGGGCAAATAGTCACTATTGGTGCTGAGAGGTTCCGTTGCCCTGAAGTCCTATTCCAGCCATCATTGATTGGAATGGAAGCAGTTGGAATTCATGAAACAACATATAGCTCAATCATGAAGTGTGATGTGGATATTAGAAGAGATTTATATGGAAACGTTGTGCTTAGTGGTGGCTCAACTATGTTCCCTGGCATAACGGATCGTATGAGCAAGGAAATCACTGCTCTTGCTCCAAGCAGCATGAAGATCAAAGTCGTTGCACCACCTGAAAGGAAGTACAGCGTCTGGATTGGAGGATCAATTCTAGCTTCCCTCAGTACTTTCCAACAAGTTGGTCTCTTTTTCCCTCTCTTTGATTGAATAACAGATACGTCTTAATCTCGAAAATAATTGATTCTCTTCTATATATTTTGCTAACTTGTACTTGTTTTGCAGATGTGGATAACGAAGGCCGAGTATGATGAATCTGGTCCAGCAATTGTCCATAGGAAGTGCTTCTAAGAGTGGTTGTGTTAACTTTAGTTTGTTTATCAAATGAATTCTGTGTCAAGAATTCTTGCGTTTCGTGTAATTTTAATTTGTCTGGTAACACTTTTTATGTTATTGATTCTTGTTCAGGTCTTTCTACTGTGAATTTAACCTCAAAGCAAATTGTATTACATAATAATTAATGAATCACAATATAACAGAGTCCCTTTTGTTAGGAAGAGGTTGTACCCTCAATTTATGACTTTTCAGCGTGAATCTTGTATTTAGTTGTGCTGAGTACCAGACATCTGAAAAAAAAAGATGAATTATCTAGTCTAAAGTTATTTTTTGTTTCCTTTTTACAGAAAAAATTGATTTGATTTGGGATCCCTTAAGGAGTATTCTATTAATTTTTTCAAAAAAAAAGACCTCATTTTCTTTTTATTCTGATTAAAAAGAATGAATTTTTTTATTTTTTTATAATATTTTAATTTAACTTTTCATCAAATTAAGTAATTCTTTGTGAAACGATTAGAGCAATCGATAATCGCTTATATAAATAGTCCAATGGACTAGTACAAAGTACGAACTGTTATAAATTCATTAAATAAGTGGATAGTCTATAAAGTTAGTACATGAATAACCATTCATATTCACTAGGTTACATGAACCTTTTTGGATAAGTATGTATCTATTTATTATGATACTTAATATGGTGACCTTTGGAATGATTTCTCACTCTATAAATAGGGTTGTTCATTCACTATTGTAATATATATATATAAAACTTATGTATACTTGAATAAGAAGAAAATCTTCTCCTACATCTATTTCTCTTGTCTTCTTCTTATATCCTGATTTTACAACACGTTATCAGCACGAGTCTTTACCAGTTCAAGTAAAGACTTTCAAAGCCTTGGAGGTAAGAATCTCCTTTATTTTTAAATAATGTCTAATCTTTCTAAACATGAATTTCTTGCTCTAGACATATCGGGAAAAAGCTATCTATCATGGGCACTCGATGCAGAAATTCATCTTGATGCGATGGGTCTAGCAGACACCATCCAAGAAAATAATCAAGCATCGAATCAAAACCGTGCTAAGGCGATAATATTTCTCCGTAATCACCTCGATGAGGGTTTGAAAATGGAATATCTCACTGTTAAGGATCCTCTGGTGTTGTGGAACAATTTAAAAGATAGATATAACCACCTGAAGTTGGTTGTCCTTCCACAGGCACGTTATGATTGGATCCACTTGAGACTTCAAGATTTTAAATCTATCAGTGAGTACAACTCTTCTATGTTTAAAATTATCTCACAATTAAAATTATGTGGAGAAAATATCACTGACCATGATATGTTGGAAAAAAGTTTTCCACTTTCCCTGCCTCGAGTATGCTTCTGCAGCAGCAATACCGAGAAATGGGATTTAAAAAGTATTCCGAATTAATCTCACATCTCCTTGTTGCTGAACAACATAATGATTTACTGATGAAAAATCATGAAAGTCGGCCTACTGGTTCTATGCCATTTCCTGAAGTAAATACGACAAATTTTCACCAATCTAAGCGTGAAAAAGGTCGTGGACCCAGTCGTGGCCATGGTCGTGGTCGAGGAAGAAATTTTAATCATGGTGATCGTCTTGCACTAAATAATAACATTCAACACCAGCAGTGTAAAAAGAAGAATGAAAAACATGACGCAGTGCAGAAGAAAAGTTCAGACAACAAATGTTATCGATGTGGAGGAAAAGGACATTGGTCACGTACCTGTCGTACGCCAAGGCACCTGGTTGAGTTATATCAAGCTTCCCTGAAGGAGGTGAAAAATAACGCAGAAGCCAACTTTATCACGGAAGATACTGTTGAACCCATGCATCTAGATGTAGCGGATTTCTTTGAGAACCCCGAAGGAAAGATAGATCACCTGATAGGTGATGGGTCTGTAATAATATAAATATATTTCATTTTCGTCGTTTATATGAACTAGTATGAATATGTTTTCCTAGATTTGTAAATAACTAAAAGGTATAATGTTTATTTCTTTTATATCTTTTATCTTGAAGAATATATGGATACCTCAATGATCAATCATGAAGATATTTGTATAATTGATAGTGGAACAACGCACGCCATATTCAAAGGTGAGAAATACTCCTCCTACTTGCTTAGAAGAAAAGCAAATGTTACTACAATTTCTGGTAATTCAAACTTAATAGAAGGCTCCGGAAGAGCTACTATATTTCTGCCTAAGGGGACAAAACTTGTCATAGAAGATGCTTTGTTTTCTTCTAAATCCCCAAGAAACATGTTAAGTTTTAAAGATATTCGCCGAAATGGATATCATGTTGAGACAATAAATGAAATGAATGTTGAATACCTTGGTATTACCAAGATTGTCTCAAACCAGAAATATGTATTGGAGAAATTATCAACTTTATCTTCTGGCCTGTATTGTGCAAAAATAAGTACGATTGAAGCACACTCCATCGTAAACCAGAAGTTTACTGACTTAGAGACTTTTGTGCTTTGGCATGACCGAATAGGTCATCCTGGATCAACAATGATGAGACGCATCATTGAAAACTCAAATGGTCATCCATTAAAGAACTTAAAGATTCTTACAAATGATGAGTTTTCGTGTGCTGCTTGCTGCCAAGGCAAATTGATTACTAGGCCATCACCAATGAAGGTTAACATTGAATCCCCTCAATTTTTGGAACGAATACATGGGGATATTTGTGGACCTATTCACCCATCTAGTGGGTCGTTTAGATATTTTATGGTCCCAATAGACGCATCTTCAAGATGGTCTCATGTGTGCCTCTTATCATCTCCCAACCTGGCGTTTGCAAAATTATTGGCACAAATGATACAATTAAGAGCGCAATTTCCAGATTATCCCATTAAGACAATTCGTCTTGATAATGCTGGCGAATTCACATCCCAAGCTTTTGATGCTTATTGCGTATCGGTAGGGATAAAAGTTGAACATCCTGTAGCTCATATTCATACTCAAAATGGCCTTGCTGAGTCATTTATTAAGCGCTTACAATTGATAGCAAGACCTCTACTTATGAAAAGTGAGTTGCCTACTACTGTTTGGGGTTATGCTATCTTACATGCAGCATCACTTGTTCGTCTCAGACCGACTCATTATAATAATTACTCCCCATTACAATTGGTATTTGGTCATGAACCAAATACTGCTCATCTTCGAATTTTTGGATGTGCTGTATATGTGCCTGTAGCACCACCTCAGCGCACCAAGATGGGCCCTCAAAGAAGGTTAGGCATATATGTTGGGTTTGATTCACCCTCAATATTCGCTACCTTGAGCCATTGGCGGGAGATTTATTCATTGCAAGATTTGCAGATTGTCGATTTGATGAAACAAATTTTCCGCAATTAGGGGGAGAGAAAAATAAACTTAAAAGTGAAATTGCATGGAAAGTTTCATCATTATCTCATTTTGATCCACGCTCCCCTGTGTGTGAACAAGAGGTCCAGAAGATCATTCCCATTTGCAAAACATAGCAAATCAAATGCCAGACGCATTTACTGATTCAAAAAGGATAACAAAGTCACATATTCCTGCAGTAAATGTGCCTATCCGAATCGACGTCCCAAAAGGACCATCTATAAGTGTCATAGCTTCTGAATCATAAATACGCCTGAAGCGTGGTATGCCATTGGGTTCAGAAGATTAGAATCCTAGAAAAAGAAGTACAAAAAATGACACTACAAAAGAATTTCACGAAGAAATTCAAGATCTGATTAATCCTGATATTCCTGAAGAATTCAGTGAACCCGAGACTCAAGTAAATGAAGAACTCTCAATAAGTTCTTCTACAGGTGATGGGATAAGTTTAGATCGATCAAAAATCATAGTGGATAATGTTTTCGCATATGATGTTGCACTTAACATTATGCAAGGAAATGAGGATCTTGAACCTCTATCCCTCGAAGAATGTCGACAAAGACATGATTGGCCAAAATGGCAAGAAGCAATTCAATCAGAATTGAATTCACTTACTAAGCGTGAGGTTTTTGGACCAGTAGTCCAAACGCCTAGTGATGTTAAACCAATTGGCTATAAATGGGTCTTTGTACGAAAAAGAAATGAGAGAAATGAGATTGTAAGATACAAGACACGCCTTGTTGCACAAGGATTCTCTCAACGACCTGGAGTCGACTATGAAGAAACATATTCACATGTTATGGATGCAATAACTTTTCGATATCTCATCGATTTAGCTGTACATGAAAATCTTGAAATTCATCTAATGGATGTGGTTACAACTTACCTTTACGGTTCACTTGATAATAAAATTTATATGAAAGTTCCAGAAGGACTTAAAATGCCTGAAGCATGTAGTTCAAAATCTCGAGAAATATATTCAATCAGATTACAAAAGTCATTATATGGCTTAAAACAATCAGGGCGCATGTGGTATAATCCTCTCAGTGAGTACTTGATAAAACAAGGTTATATGAACGATGTCATTTGTCCTTGTATATTTATTAAGAAAACAACATTGGAGTTTGTTATTCTTGATGTTTATGTTGATGACATTAATCTCATTGGAACTCCAGAAGAGGTTCAAAAGGCAATTGAATATCTAAAGGAAGAATTTGAGATGAAAGACATTGGAAAGACAAAAATTTGTCTTGGACTACAAATAGAATATTTAGTAGACGGGGTCTTCATCCATCAATCTGACTATACTGAGAAAATCTTGAAACGATTTTACATGGACAAAGCACATCCATTGAGTACTCCAATGGTTGTCCGATCACTTGAAGTGAGTAACGATCCATTCCGACCTCAAGAAGAGAACGAGGAACCTCTTGGTCCAGAAGTACCTTATCTTAGTGCAATTGGGGCACTTATGTATCTTGCTAATGCTACGAGACCTGACATAGCATTTTCTGTTAATTTGTTAGCAAGATATAGTTCTTCCCCTACACGAAGACATTGGAAAGGAGTTAAACATATATTGCGATATCTAAGGGGAACTAGTGATATGAGTCTATTTTATACTAACAAAGATAGTGCAGATCTTGTTGGTCATGCAGATGCAGGTTATTTATCTGACCCACATAAAGCTCGATCACAAACATGCTATCTGTTCACATATGGAGGTACTACTATATCATGGCGATCTACGAAGCAGTCTATTGTCGCTACTTCTTCAAATCATGCTGAGATAATAGTCATTCATGAAGCAAGTAGAGAATGTGTATGGTTAAGATCAGAAATACATTCTATCAA